GGCCGTTCCTGCTGCAGCAGTGCCTCTTGGCCACGCTGCGTGCCTGGGTCCCATGGAACGCGCTGGGATGCTGCGCGTCCCGCGGCGCCCGGCTGGGCTGCGGGCAGGCAAGCGCTGCTCCCTCGAGAACAGGCCCGAGACGCAGAAAGCAAGTGCAGGGCCAGGGAGCGGCGTCAGACTGGGCAATGGTGGAGATTTTTGGCTCCTTAATTCATCCGTGTGCTTTATCATTCTTTGCTAAGGTTTTGGAAGAGATAAGTGTTCCCTAGAAATAACCCTAGAGTCTCCCTTCGCGGCACCTGCCTGCGGGGCGCAGAGCTCAAGGTGGGCAGCGCTCCCGGGCTAGCTTTCATCACACGCATAGGGGAGGGCCAGGCTATGTATATACAGTTGCTATGTATTTTTCCTACAGAGGGAGCTGGCAGTTAGATCCTGCTGCATATTTACAGCATCCGTTACCCACCAGCTGCTGAAACTGAAGGGTGAACGAACGACGGAGGCGGCCGTGGGAGAGAAGTCTCTGCTGCAGACACAACCCTGCGATGCTCCCGTGCTGTAGACACAACCCTGCGATGCTCCCGTGCTGCAGACACAACCCTGCGATGCTCCCGTGCTGCAGACACAACCCTGCGATGCTCCCGTGCTGCAGACAGGGCATTTCTGCACCTTCAGATTCTCCTGGAGCCATGGTGCTGCTGGGAGGACAGCTCTGCCTGCAGAACAAATCCACTGCAAGGCTCCCAGAAGGGCAGAAGTAAAACTCTTGTGCACAATATTAACAAAACTCGCCATCCATCATGGAACTTGCCAGAGAATGCTACAGAGAGCAAAAGCCTGAAAAGGCTCCAAAATGGTTTAAACAAACTAATGAAGATGAGGTTCATTAGTGACTAGCAAATGTGATGATACTGGTGCAAAGCCTGGCTCAGTAAGGCACTAAATTACCACCTGCCAGAAGCTCGGAAGTTAAACCAGAGGAAGGCTCTTTGTCATCTTGATCTTTTCTAACCACAAGACCAGACCTTTGGTGTGACTCCGTATAACTCTTCTTGTAGAGCAGGGTTTGCAAAGGCTCCGTGTCGAACCAACATGTGACTTCAGCAGTGGCCTGTAAAGCTCAGGGGAACCTGCAGCAGGCAACTAAGAAAAACAAATGTATTTTTAGTGCATTTAAATTCACAATATGAGGATCTGAAGCTGAAAATTGTGTGGGAGGGGATACACATATAGAAGATGGATATAGATGTAATCCCTGTTACAGATTTAGCCACGCCACCAGTGTCAACAGTAATATTAAACCACTGACAAAATCACAGAAATGCACCTGCATGGTGCCCAAAAGGAAACATAAATAGCACCTAAATGTCCTCACCTGCCTCCTCAATCTGGAACTAACACCACACTTTTTTTCTGCAGACTATTTTCCTAGAAAAAGTGATGGAGAGCTCTTGTCAAAGTTAATAGCTGTCTGTTCCCCTGGTTGCATCCCCTGGGGATCTAAATCTCTAGGGCCTGCATCTCCAAGGAAGCAAAATGTCTCACTCCTCCTGAATTTCAATGAGTTTGAGCCCTTAATCCCCTTAGAGTTTGAAAACCTAATATGCATCTATGCACACTCAGATACATACCTAACACAGCAACACTCTGACAGAGTATTTTTTTCTGTCAGAAAATATGCCTTGATCAAAGCTAATACAGTTCATGGATCCAGGCTGATTTTGATGAATTTTCTCCTTAGGAAGAAAAGGGGCAGGAGGGGGTTTCAGGAGCGCAATATATTCTGTCCCAACAGTTTTACGGAATGGAAGGATCCCTTTCTTTGTGTAGAAGAAACTTCCTATTTCATCTATTTTTAGCATATCAAGTACCAAGAAACACAAAAGAATAATGAAATATACCCATCTGATCTGAACCAATGCGTTTCCCAGGGTGTTCTGCTTGTTTACTGTTCAGTATGAAAACAAATCTTGAAAGATCCAATATTTTCAGAACAAAAATTCTGGGTTTGGGTCACTGGTTAGCAATATCTACTAGAGTTTGTTAGGCAACCTGAATTTTTATAAAATAAAAGTTGAAATGTTGAAGGATGCTACAATAATGCAATGAATATTTTTGCAGACTTCACCCCTTCTGACCGCAGCTTGGGTGTACCGGTCCCGGTGCAGCACGGCCGTGACTGCTAGTTTGTGCACTGTGCAGCCCCCCAGGAAGCCCTGAGCCATGGAGCCTCCTCTTCCCCCGCACAAAGCCATACCCCAAACCGAAACCAGAACCTTCCAGGGCACAGGGGCCAGACACAAAAATAACCACACACAAACCCCTGCCAGCTCCTGCCCTCTTATCTCTCTGAGCCTTCGAGAATCTTGGAAAAACCTGGGCTACAACATATTTACTTTTCTTAGCCCTAGCCCCCAATTGAAGCCTGAGACTAGCTGTCTTCCTTAACCAAGTACGTCTGACAAGAAATGTGCTTCCACCAGTACTGAGAGCTGCCCTTTTTCTGTTTCCACACCCCCAAATATGGGAATCGCGGGCCCCACCAAGACAGCTGTTCTTGAGCCCAGTCCCAAAGCCCAACCTAAAACGTAGGCCAGACTAGAACTGGCAACAGATGCTGACTAATGCTAAAACAGCACATGAAATGCCACGAGAGCACAGCCCCTCACACCACACAGCAATACCAATGCGGGCTCGGGGTCTCCTCTGCTGAGGGTGGGAGGGGGCCGGCAATGAGCAAGTGCCCCTGTTCCCTCACTAGCATCCCAGCCGGCACTCACCGCCACCCGGGCTGGCGGTCTGAGCAGAGAGGGCAAAGACTGAGCTGGCAGCGAGATAAATTACTCTTTCTACGTTGTGGGTGGCCTTTCCACCTCAGGGCAATCACATTAGAGCTGCCTACCTGGGGAAATGCCTGCTTGGCATATAAATGTGAGGTTTTCATGAGTTGCATTTCAATCAGTTTTCAGATGCTTACATGCATTTGCAATTTAAAAACAGAGAGAAAAATAAAATTAAATAAATAACAGAGATTAAATTATCTTCCACTGTCCTGCTTTGCTTTATATCAACTATGTACATTCTTCAGATTTTATACCTGCTTCCACCTGAGTTAAAAACCCCTCTGTTCTAGACTCTGGACAGTATTGATAAGTAATCAAGTTCACATTCATATAATAACAGCTCAAGCTACTCTTTTTCTTATGCTCGTCCTCCAGTTCTGGGTGCATATGACATTAAGCGTTACCTTGAAGAGGAATATTCAGCATTTTTTGTGTGTGCATTTGTGTGTGTAAATAAATTCAACATGAAAAGCGCTACACACTTTATATAAACCTCAGCATGTACAGAAAGAGCTCAAATTACACTCTGGCCTTCCCTAAATCACATGCTAAGAGGGGCTGTGGGAGTTACCATCAATACCTGGAGGCATTCTGCAAAGAGCAATTCGCTCAAAATTGCTCGATGCAATAGCCACGAGGGAGAGAAGTGGAGCCTCAGCCGTTTTCAAGACCCTTCTCAAAACTCTCCTTATTCTCACATCTTCAAATATGATAGGGAAGTTCTTATTTAGCTTTGAAAGCAAAGAAAGGGGAGCAGGGTGGGCCTGCGATATACTCCACAGGTAAGAGAGACGCCCTAACACCACTG